TCCCTTCTACGTGACTGAAAATTATTTTATTATGTTTTATTTGTATTATTTTATTATTTCTCTTCTACGTGACTTTACCGAAAGAACCAAGAAGATGAATCCCTGCAGTCACGAAAGCTTTAAATCGAAATGTGTTATGCAGTTACCCTGTTGGGGTGTTATAATAAACGTGTTGCCTCCCAGTTCAAGTGTGTGCCTCCGTGGAACTCACTACACATGCACAAAAGGAAAACTGCACAAACGGGTGCACAAGTCCACTTGCTGTACTGCCACACATTTCTGGCCACCTCTCAACCCGTTTGGGAGTGTGTCAATGATTTCACTTGATCTATCAAAATGGATCTGATGTCGATCAAAAACCAGCAGCATTAACTTGACGTTTTTTATTTTACGGCCAGGAGCAGTTTTGCTGTTCGTAAATTCAACTTGTAACACGCGCAGTGTTCGCTGACTCTTGAAGACAGAGAAACGAGGTCGGAGGTGCGATGGATCGCTGACGAGTGGACAAGGCAAGCATGTAGCCGGTGCCAACAATTGCCCAAACCTCTGCGGTCCCCCATGTATTCGGATGTTTGCAGCCAATTCATGAGTGTTAACATGCCGGAGAAGAATCGAGCACCCAGAGAAAACCCACGTGTCAGAAGAGGCAACACTCTATCCCACACAGACGGAACAGGTGGAGGCCACGTTCGCTGTAACGCTTTCTCAACTTTTTTCTATACCAGGTAAGGCCCACTGAGCTATATAGCTCTTTTTCAGAAGCGACCTGGCCACAAATGATAACTGAACGAAGTCGGCTTATTATGCGGAAATTTATAGCAGCCAAATACTCTAAATGCATGTTGATTCTAAACGTGGAGGGAAAAACCGAAGTACCCGGATAAAAATCCTCGCGACCACGGGGAGACTGTGTAAACTCCAAATATACAGCAGCAGGCGTCAGGCTCGGGATTAGAGGTCGCAAACGGGTTTTGATTCCTTACCCGTACCCGTACCCGGCCGCACCAGGGTCGCAAATGGGTACCCGTACCCGGCCGGGTACGAGTTCCCGTTCCCTACCCGTACCCTACCTGAAATGAGTGACAAACGGTTACTCACCAGTGACTCACGGCCTACCCGTACACGTACCCGTACACACCAGGGTCGCAAACGGCTACCCGTACCCATTCCCGGCCGGGTACGGGTAGCCGGGTATCGGGTAGGGTACGGGTATCGGGTACCCGGTTGCGACCTCTGCTCGGGATTGAGCCCACGACCTCCTGTATACCAAGCGAGGTAGTTAACATTTCTATACCACGGCGCCCCATTCTCCTGGCGAGCCAGGACACGGCACCTCGGCGCCCACGGGAAGGAAGTTTCACAACAGCTGCTTGATCCACCGACCCTCGCTACCCTCCACAGTGCTGGATTACATGCCACGTGCGTGGCCCCACACCACCTGAGGAACAGCAACCACTCGATATTCCCCATCTCAGCGGGCGGTGCTCCCCGGGTCCTCCGATGTTTAAACCTCCACATTTAGAAACGTGCCTTTCGACCATTCAGATGATGTTGCCGCTATAAATCTTTAAATAATGGGCTACTTTATCTTCTTGGTTCTTTCGGCAAAGTCACGTAGAATGGAAATAATAAAATAATAAAATAAAACATAATAACATAATTCTCACGACGTTTCGGCCACAACGCAAGTAGCCGTCCTCAGGTGAAGACCAGGTCTGTCGGGGAGACAGCGTCTGAATGGCCTGGTCTTCACCTGAGGACGGCTACTTGCGTTGTGGCCGAAACGTCGTGAGAATTATTTTATTATGTTTTATTTTATTATTTTATTATTTTCCTTCTACGTGACTTTACCGAAAGAATCAAGAAGATTAATCCCTGCAGTCACGAAAGCTTTAATCGAAAAATGGGCTACTTTGTTGAGCAATCATTTGTGACCAGGTCGCTTGTGAAAAGTAAGTTAATATCTCAGTGGGCTGTGTATAGTAGGATGGGGATGGTTGAGTGTTGTATTTGTATGTGTTTGCGTGATTTGTTTTCCTATTCTTGTACTTTGTTTGTTGTTGTAACGTTCTAACCCGCCCAGACTGACATCTGTGAAAAGGAGCTTGAGAGCTCATCGGGTTTCTCCAGTGTAAATAAATACTCTGATTCTGATCATCAGCCATGGCGGGATGGCAAGATAATGTTGATGATGATGGTGGTGGGACCTTGGTGGGATTTTAACTCAAAATCTCATGATTGGGAACCCTTCTGCTTTATCAACTGAGCAACGTTCTACCCAGCACATGTCAACATGTTAATGATGACAGCATCGTATAGTGATAATAAAGCAGATCTTGTGCAAGTGCTCGATGGATTATTACACTGCAAGATTGTGAGAGGTGGTTATGTGAATTGATCATTACTGACACTGATAATAGTCATACGATGTATCCACAACATGTGTGTGTATACATATAACAAGTACACTTACTATAACTGCATCGATCCTCTGCATTGCACTGCGCATAGCACGTGTTTTAAATCCATCCCGGTCACAATTTGTGAAACTTCCCATTCGCATGCAAAAATTACGCAATCGACACGTGTGCCGTGACATGTGGAGCAGAAACATGGACGATGGCGAATAACGCGCAACACAAGCTGGAAAGTGCACAAATCTGCGGCCGTCTGGAATGCTCTTCCCTCTGATATTAGGAAGCCACTACAGCTGTGCACTTTTAAATCATCTATATTGACAAACGAGTAGATCGACCATGGCTATGAATGTGATGAGACGCACACGATATCTAGGAAATAATCATCTGCCAGTGCTGGTCTTGGTCATTAAATACCACGCTCAAAACCTCAAGCGTAATTGCACGTTTCTAATAAGATATTTGACGTTTGAACAATCCATCAAACTCCCAGATTTACAAACGCTCAGCAGTGTAGCTGTTATGATGCGCAGTAACCATCCACAGCAGTGGCAACATCTGGGCGACTGCGTTGTCTGTGCCACGTGATATGGCCGAGCAGTGCAGGTGGACCACCAATCGGAGCTCGGTCTCATTATCTGTGACCCTGGTCACCACCTGTCAATCACGTGCTCTCAAGACGGAATTGTCTCCCAAACTGCATTCGTTCCAGCCTGTACATGTCGTAACATTATGATCGAGCGACTGGGATAACTTACTCAGTCAAGCCACTGTGCTCATGAGTTCAGGCCCGGACTGGGGTCAATGACATCAGAATGCCTCCGTGGTAAGTGAAAGTGAACGTGTTGAATATATTCTGGGGCCCGCCATAGGAACGTGGAATTCTCAATATTGGATTTGAATAAACAATGGAAAATCCTTAATTGGTACATGGGACACTTTATATATGTATTTATTTTTAAATTATATATGTAGTCCAGTCACCACGTCTCCCATATCTCCATTGAAAATAAGACCGTTGTCACAAATGGGCTCTAAGGTGCTAAAAATGTGAAATATTCATCTATCAACATCATCACGACTAGGGTTCATCAGTATCATCACCATGTCTAGGGCTCCTCTATATCATCATCATCATCATGTCTCGGGCTCAGCAGTACCTCCAGCATCATCATAATGTCTAGGGCCCATCACCAGCATCATCATCATGTCTAGGGCTCGGCAGTACCTCCAGCATCATCATAATGTCTAGGGTTCATCAGTATCATTATCACAATGTCTAGGGCTCAGCAGTACCTCCAGCATCATCATAATGTCTAGGGTTCATCAGTATCATCATCACAATGTCTAGGGCTCAGCAGTACCTCCAGCATCATCATAATGTCTAGGGTTCATCAGTATCATCATCACAATGTCTAGGGCTCAGCAGTACCTCCAGCATCATCATAATGTCTAGGGTTCATCAGTATCATCATCATAATGTCTAGGGCTCAGCAGTACCTCCAGCATCATCATAATGTCTAGGGCCCATCACCAGCATCATCATCACAATGTCTAGGGCTCAGCAGTACCTCCAGCATCATCATAATGTCTAGGGCTCCTTCGCATCATCACCACCGCCCCGCTCGCTGCCGACCCCGGGCCCCGTGTGAGCACACACACACACAGTGCTGTCACCTGTCTCGCAGGCCCCCGTGTGAGCACACACACACAGTGCTGTCACCTGTCTCGCAGGGCCACGTGTGAGCACACACACACACAGTGCTGTCACCTGTCTCACAGGGCCACGTGTGAGCACACACACACAGTGCTGTCACCTGTCTTGTAGGGCCCCGTGTGAGCACACACACACACAGTGCTGTCACCTCTCTCGCAGGGCCCCGTGTGAGCACACACACACAGTGCTGTCACCTGTCTCGCAGGGCCCCGTGTGAGCACACACACACAGTGCTGTCACCTGTCTTGTAGGGCCCCGTGTGAGCACACACACACACACAGTGCTGTCACCTGTCTCGCAGGGCCCCGTGTGAGCACACACACACAGTGCTGTCACCTGTCTTGTAGGGCCCCGTGTGAACACACACACACACAGTGCTGTTACCTGTCTCGCAGGGCCACGTGTGAGCACACAAACAGTGCTGTCACCTGTCTTGTAGGGCCACGTGTGAGCACACACACACAGTGCTGTCACCTGTCTTGTAGGGCCACGTGTGAGCACACACACACACAGTGCTGTCACCTCTCTCGCAGGGCCCCGTGTGAGTACACACACACAAAGTGCTGTCACCTGTCTCGCAGGGCCCCGTGTGAGCACACACACACACACACAGTGCTGTCACCTGTCTCGCAGGGCCCCGTGTGAGCACACACACACACAGTGCTGTCACCTCTCTCGCAGGGCCACGTGTGAGCACACACACACACAGTGCTGTCACCTGTCTCGCAGGGCCACGTGTGAGCACACACACACACACACAGTGCTGTCACCTGTCTTGCAGGGCCCCGTGTGAGCACACACACACACAGTGCTGTCACCTCTCTCGCAGGGCCACGTGTGAGCACACACACACACACTGCTGTCACCTGTCTCGCAGGGCCCCTCGTGCGCCACGCTCAAGTTCCGAGCTTGTGCTCCGAGTCTGTGCGCCGCCTCGGACAGCCTGCACACGTTGGGGTACGTGCTGCCGTCGGTGCCGCACAGCGTCTGCTCCGACACGCACACGCACTGCGGCTCGGGTATGCCGTACTCGCCGTCGCCGCCGTCGCCACCGCCTCCTCCTCCTCGTTCGGCACCGTCCGCGGCACTCCCTCCGTCGAGCACGCAGGAGAGGTGATCCCCGCAGCGACCGTAGAAGTGCGCCGTCTCGTCCAGGTCGCAGATCTGCCCCTCCGCGTTGGCGCACTCGCGGCAGCAGTCGCAGTGGTCGGGCACGGTGCCGGCCGGGCAGCCGGCAGGCAGCGGGCACAGCTCCGGGTCGCAGTCGCCGCAGCCTTCGCCCTCCGCCAAGAGTCGGAGCCAGCCGCGATGCGCGAAGCCGCGGGGTACTCCTCGGCTCTCCGGAGCTCCGAGGCACGGCGCGGTGATCATCATCAGCAGCGGCAGCAGCAGCAGCAGCATCGTCGCCGTCAGACGTAGCTGCGTCAACGGCGGCGGCGGCATCATTGACGGGGCACAAAGAGGCTCTCGGCCACCCTCGTAGCTGCCGGCGAAGCTGCTCGGTTGGGACCTGTGCTCTCTTACCTGCACACACCTTTCGAGCCTACTCACACCTGTCCGGCACACCTGTACCAAGGTCGTCTGCGACGCCTGTAATAAGATGATGTTATCGCTGCTGCTGCTGTTGTTGTTGTTTTTGTTATCGCTGCTGTTGTTGTTGGCTGGGGGGGAGAGGGCTGCGCGTATCCGAAGCGGCTGTTTCACGAACAAATGACGTCGCTCCGTCGGACTTTTAGCTGCGGTGCTCGCCGCGTTGTTGCGACATCAGCAAGAAGAACGGCTGCCGATCTCGGCGTGCTTTGCGGGAATCCCAGATCCGACCGGTGTCAATAATAACCCAACAGCGTTCAAAAAAGTAGCAAGCTTCGGCACTCGGCTGGCTGTGTCCTCGATCTGCGTGCGGGCCCCCCCTCTCACCCCACCCGCCGGAACGCCCTCGCAGCCTGCCTGGTCCCCGGCACGCGGCTGCGCTGGTGACTCTTCAGCGGAGGAGAGCGACGAGCGGTGCTCGGAGCGAACGCTTAAATAATTAATAAAATACAAAGCAATTGGCAAGGGGTGGAAGGTCCCTCCTTCTCTCCCCCTGCCTCCCTGCTCTCCTCTCCTCCCCCCTCTCTCTCCCTTCCCCTCTCTCATTCTCTCTCCAGCTCTCGGCGTTCAGTGTTGGAATTCGCGAGCGAGCGATCGAAGAGAGAGCGAGAAAGAGAGCCCACTCGTTCCCGAAGCGCTGTAAGAATGAAATATGAATATTGTGTTTAGTTTTTTTCCTCGGCGCGGCTCAATGTCGTCAATAGCCCGGAGAGGGGTGACGCTTAACAGATTGTTTTTATCTTCTTGGTTCTTTCGGCAAAGTCACATAGAAGGGAAATAATAAAATAATAAAAATAAAACATAATAAAATTAATCTCATTATTCTTTCGGTAAAGTCACGTAGAAGGGAAAAAAAAACATAATAAAACAATTCTCATTATGTTTTATTTTTATTATTTTATTATTTCCCTTCTACGTGACTTTACCGAAAGAACCAAGAAGATGAATCCCTGCAGTCACGAAAGCTTTAAATCGAGATTGTTTTTAATTTTCCGCGTTTGCGGTTAATTCCGTTTTTTGCGTGGCCACAGGACGGACCAAATAAAGTTGCGCGTACGTATTTATTTTTCGGTAAAAAAAAAAAATCCACGTATAAAACTTGCTTTAAATGTGTTAAACATTTACAAGCGAGCGGTGCGAGCGTTAATAACTCAACTGGGTTGGTGTATGTCCGTGCCAATGGCTGGCCGGGTTTGCGTCGTAAGAATCGGCACGCGTTCATCAAACACAACAAGATGTGATTTTATTTGGGAACCCGTTGAAAGAGAAAGTTTCCATTTCTGGAAATCTACAATGAGCCCTACATTTCACGTTGGAGTTATACACTTGTAGACTATAGTCTATATATATATGTCAGGGCTGGAGAGGTCGCGCAGTAGCTATAGAGTTCGATTCCTGACTGTGTTTTAAGAGCCAGCAGCGAGTGATACCTGCAACCCACCACCCTGACCCAGCTCTTCCCGAACGCGTACTGAGCAGCGTGGTGAAGTATGGTCAACCGTCCTCCATGACTTGCGTGGCGTGGGGAGGCCTTATTCCAGCAGTGGGTAGACAAAGGGCTGTAGAAACCACGAGCTTTATAAAACATTTACAGGCAGATTTTTTTGCAGGAGCTCAAGGAATTTTTTTTTAGGTTTTTTTGCTAATTCTGGCCAACTTTACTCCAAAATAATTCGCAAGCTTTCACTCAATGCAACGCAACCTTGGCTTTATTTCCTAATCAGCTGAAACGAAAGTTTCCATTCTATAATGAGCAGTGTGAGTTCGTAGCCTATTTATATACATGTACAGCCATTTGTCAAAACCACTGCTTCATGAAGGGATCCCGAAGCTGTTAGTCATAAGGAAAGTTTGTCCATAAATCAGCACAACGGGCAGTACGTTTTGCTGAATTAAATGGAAGGGGGCCAGTACCGGTTCAGATATCACTCGTCACTTGCGTAAGCCATGGCCAGGAATTGAACTTAAGTCACCGGATTCATAGTAAAGTGCACTAACCACTGTGCCACCCCTGCCTGCAAGTGTGTATGCACTGCATATATATGTTGAACTTCGTTTGCACCGTACGTAGCCAACTGTGCTGATCGATATGGGGAGTAGTGTAGCGGTTCGCGCACGGCGCTAACTAACCAGGCGACCCGAGTTCAATTCCCGCTCACGGCCACCAACATCAGTGACGATAATCTGAACCAGTCATCTGCCGCCCCTAGGTCGACTCAGCATCAAGTGAGTACCTGGTGCGATGTGTACACATCATTACGAGGGAGACAAAGACGGCCGGTTGTGGTTCTTGCCACCCACCCCCTAGTGTGCCGTGCCGGCCTTCATAGGTGCTCGCCAACAGCACTTGCCCCAACAGTATGTTAAGGCTATACGGGGGATCTTTGTCTTTTGTTTACGTACACACTTACATTTTGTGCCTTCACATCGACCCTTACAGTATTGGCCAAAGTAATAGCGTGCGGTTTGTGGGATGGATTCTGGAAGAGACAGCAAAGGGCAGGGGGCCCAACTTTCCATTCATCGGGCTTTGTCAAAGGGCGGATAAGGAGGCCCTCTCGGCCTCAACGAGGACTGGAAGGGAACCCCCCCACCCCACCCACCCACCCGGCAGATGCTGCGGCTGGCTCGATTTCACTCTAGCGAAGCCTGCTGCCATTTGCTCAATCGCAGAGGCACATGTTTGAACCGAAGGGCATGAGGGTCTGGTCTAAAGAGCACTCTCTGGGGGTGAGGGCAGTCGGCGGCCAAAGGGCAGCTTGCCCGTGCCCTTATCACCCACCACGCCCACCCTTACCCCCAGGTCCCACCCACCCAACCAACCGCCACACGCTCTTATTTTGTTCCACAAAGCAAGCGCACGTTTTGTTTCGAGACGGGAAATGAACCACACAGGGACTGTGCCCAGGGAAAGTGGCCTTGTTTACTCAGCCACGTCTGGGCACCGGACTCAAAATGTAAACCACCGTTGCCTCGAACGATGGTGAGAGAGCCATTTCAAAACAAACTCTCTTCAGGACAGAGCGAGATAGGATTTCTGCTAAACACTTAGCACGGCCCGGCTTGACAGCATAAGCGTTGGGAGGCGTCCTGCCTCTCAGAGGCAACAATAGATTGTAAATAGGCATCAGCGGTCATTAACACAACTCGATATACAATACAAGTTTGCCTCATATTGTCTAAATACAACCCGCATCGCAAGACGCTGTACAGAAATAGTATTTTTTGTAGCGTTTTTGTTTCCGAATTGAGTTTGCCTATTCTCCCCCCTGTTCTGCACGGGTTTTCTCCCACTTCTCCGGTTTCCTCCCATAGCTCACACAAAACTGGTATTAGCCAAACGTCCCATTGCTAAAACATAACGTGCACATTATTCACCAGGGATGACTGCAAACATCGCCCCCTACTGAAATAAAAACCGTGTGAGGAGCCTGCTGAAAGAGAGTTTTGAGGATCAGTGAGGCTTTCCTGGGTAAACAAAGAGGGTTTGGTACACCACGGGGTAGAGTGCACTCTTTATAACATACAAAATCCAAATAGATGTTTTTTATGTAAATGTTTAAATGGCACGTTGAGGCAGGTATTCATCTGCAGGCCTCTAATGAGGACCCGCACCATCTTACAACGCGCCATGACTAAAGGGGAATATGTTTAAGGAAAACAAATCGTGAGATGCACATTTACACACGTGTTTGAAAGTGGCCTAATTCATATCGTGAAATCCTTTTTAGCAAGACAGGATTATCTTGTTTTTCTCACAGTTTATTTAAGCTTGACCTTTGTAACCCCCACACGTCACTGCATTTTGACCAGCGCCGTAATACAACAACATCGGACACCCGAAGAAATCACCGGCCAGAGATCTTGCCATCATATGGACGAACATAGCCGTGGCATTGCCCGAAGGAGCGTGTCTGTGCCCATTATATTTTCTTGTGGATCACGGATCGAGGTTAATTGTATCGATTCTGCTCCGTTTTTTTTGTTTACCGCATTACAGCGCCATTGCCTCCTCCAATTTGCCTCCAATTGTTTCAGTTACGAACAAAAGTCGAAATTTCCCAGTCACGTTCAAGCATTCTGTGATGTAAGATGCAAATAATAACGGGTGCTCCGATGCATAATTTCTTCCGTTAACATCGAATCTTAAACGTACAATGCACGCGACAACTCACGTGTATGAGAACTCGTCGTGTCTAAGAACTCGCGTGTGTAAGAACGTTTGTCGACTAATATATTGTACATTTTCGGTTCATACGACACCATGCAGCCGCGAGAAGCAGGTACATTAACCCCCAATGTAAAACAACAACAACAACTGAATATTGAATCAAATCATGACTTTGAATTGTGATTTAGTTCATCGCATCGACTTTGGTGGCGGTCTTTGAGGAAGGGGGGGGGATAGTGAATGATGTTGTACCCCCAGTAATAATACCGCTGGCACGGAAATCAGAGGTAGGCTTCTGGAACAACATTTGGTGTCTCGATGCGCACTGTGCACTAGCCGAGACCACCCAAACTCTGAAAATCCAGCCTGAAGAATGGAGGGAGTGTAGTCGTCTGGAGGGACCGGCTGATTGGTTTAACAAAACCCATACCTCCACACTCAGGTTTGGCCTGGTCCATAGGGAGAGTGCTGTTAGTGTACCGCCCGTGTATCGGGTAACAACGCGTTTTTTTTTAGAATGCCATCAGTAACACAACGATTACGGGCGGTGTCAAGAAATGCAACAGACGTCCGTTTGTGTGGCGCGGTGAAAAAAAACACGTCGCTCAACAAACATGCAAACAAACATGCGTTTCGCACTTATTCTATACGCGCAGGATGCTCCCACTTGTGTTTGTAATGCTCATTACTGAAAACGGATTTTACATGCAAATAAATGACGTAGAGCAATTAACTTCTGCAAAGGCATTGTCTCTAAAATGATAATGGAAATAATTATGTATAGCCCCCAATTCAATCAAATCAACTGTTGGACGAAGGCCTGGCAAGGCGTCTGGGTTGTGGGGTTTGTTTGACCATACTTCCCCACGAGTCGGTGAAGCGGGGGTCCCAGGATCCGTTCAGATCTCACTCACCAATGCATGTATGCATGTTGAACTTCTTTCGCACCGTACATAGCCAACCGTGCCAATCGGAGGTGCGGGGGAAAGACAACAAAATAAACACAAAAAAGCAGTTCGAAAGAAATTAGTTTGCAATCTGGATTGAAAAGTGCATCGCTCCGGTGGCTTCCTAATATCGGAAGGAAGAACGTTCCAGACGGCCGCAGAAACGCGTCTGAAAGCGCGCGATGCAGTGAGCGTCTTTGGTCGATGGCCAGCCAATGCATATGTTTTTTAATCCGTGGCCGTAATCAAACGGAAATCGCCCGATGCGTTTAGTGCACGAACCACTGCACCAGCGACACA